CCAAAACTGAAATAGGAAAAAAGTAACCTAAGTTAAGTAAAATACAATAATAAAATGACACAAAAACCTAGTAAAATGGCCCCGAATAAGTGCACAAAAATGCACTTATCAGCTGGACAATTGAACAGTTGTAGATTACAGTTTGTGATTATTCGTGTTCGAGAATCACAAAAAGAGTTTGCAGAATTCATCAAATATATTATTCTATACACAGTTTATATCTAAACACAAAACAGATCCATTGTGGAAATTGAAAAATAATTTATTTTCCGTTGTACTGTTAAGTAAATTCACAACATTTGTCCATGTGATAGACATTGCTTTTTCCTTCCCGATCGTTGAATAGAAGTTATTCTTTTCCCATTGTCACCTTCTTGTCTAAGCTAAATTGCTGTCATGTGCACTTACAGGTTTGTGTATCATCTGATGGGTTGCTTTCTTCAGTTGATGCTACAATTGAATCACCAAACGTTACCTCTGCACTCTTTGACGTATTTCTTGGAGGTAGTCCAGTTTCACCTTCATTGAAATCTTCAGTTGCTAATGGTTTGGCATGGCCATTGTGTGATTAAAGGCCTGACGGGTTGAAATTTCTGTTGTTTTTGAGTTTCTAAGTTTGTTTTCGGTTAGTGTCCATTAGTTGAATTTTGTGATGTGGAGTAGTTGAGTTTTGATGTGCCTATAATGGTAGAAAGAAAAGGGTATTTATTGGTTTGATCAATATGTATATTCTGCATATTTGTGAAGAAGTTCAAATGTAGTTTCACATTCCCGATACAAATCCGTCCGCCTTTATCTCCTCTAGCATCTTGAGAACCTCTGCCATAGTAGGTCTTTTATGCGGCTCTGGCTCAAGGCACATTAGTGCTATATTGAATACACGATTAACTTCATCAACCGAGAAATCTTCTAAACTGCTGTCTAGTACATGTTCTTCTTGCTTTTCTTGGACAACTGTCTTCACCTGCAACAACATATAAAAGTTATTAAGGAAATAGCAAGTCGTCATTTTATTGATTGATAAGGATGTCGTATCTAATTAGAATGCAAAACAATTCATCAGTAAGAGTTACCCAGGTCACAAGCTTAGTTCCCTCCTCAATAAATGCTTCATCTGTTGGTTTTTTCCCTGTTAGTAGCTCAAGTAAGACAACCCCAAAGCTATAGACATCCCCTTTTGCTGTCGCTCTCCCCGTATCAAAATACTCTGTAGAAATCATAAAATAATTATTTAAGTTGATAAACAACATCGAAAGTAGAAGTATCTTATTGTTCTAACTAGTATACCAGGAGCCAAGTATCCAAAAGTTCCAGCAACTAAAGTTGAAACATGAGTTTTATCTGGTTCCATTAAAGTAGCTAATCCAAAATCTGATACTCGAGCCTCCAAGTTTTGATCCAACAATATATTGCTTGACTTAATATCTCTGTGTATTATGTGAGGGATGCAATCATGGTGGAGGTAGGATATCCCTCTTGCAGCTCCAACTGCTATTTTGTATCTTGAAGGCCAATCTAGAACCATCCTGTTTGAAGACTTTCCTGCATAACAGGACATGGTGATCATCAATTAATAGAAACCTCAATGTTTATAAAGATTTCCTCTTAAAACTGGCTGAAAATTAGGTACTCTTTTTAAGTCTTTTAGAAGTTAATTGATAAATAATGTAAACACAGACCTTTTAAAAAAGACTTCGACTAATATTAACAATGGGAGATTTAGCATGTTCCTCTAAATTTAGCAAGTGATGAATATAGATAAAAATTGATGGCATGATTTGTACGCTGGACTTGACATAGAAAATGACAAAAAAATTCACGTTTCTCTTCTTTAATCATGTTTATCGTACCAAATATGCTGTGAATGCATACCATGTAGTAGCGAGTCGAGACTGCCATTAGGCATTAGCTCATAGATGAGAAGATTGTAATCAGAAGCAGTGTAGTATCCATGAAGAGTAACTATATTTCTATGCTTTATGTCCCCCATCGCCTCCAATTCTCTCTCAAAACCGCGATCTTGCTCCTGATTTGCTTTGGTTAGTCTTTTAACCGCAAAAGACATTGACTCATCTACTGTCAGCTTGTAAACTGTCCCGTAGCCTCCTGATCCTATAATATCCTTGTTGCTAAGTTTCATCGTCTTCCTCAAAAACGTATTTGACTTCAAAGATTTTGTCTTCTGTGATTTAAACATTACTAGTTTCCCACCTGTATTGTCTAAACATCAGAAGATTCGAACACATTGTTAGACATAAACAGTGGATAGACCCAAGAAAAAGCTTAAATTAGACTACATCCAAAACTATACCTGTAAAACTGTTTTGAACAGCCATTTGTTTTCTTTTCCATCGACGATAACATAGGACTGCCATAACAATCTTCGATATAGCAAAAGCTAAAACACATACGGTTATGTATAAGGGAAGAAACCGAGTATTTCCCATTTAGTTCTGCAGTGAAAATCCAACTATAAATTCATTTTGCAGTGAGTAAAATACAAAAACAGTAGAATTCACAACCATCATTCACAGGGAATTTTAAAGCTTGAATTCACCTCAGAATATATTAATAAAGAAAATTCTTCCTTGAAACTCCAATATCATTAATGACTTGGATCTTGAAACTTTAAGTACAATATGAAGAACTTTGCTGAAAAGGAATTTCTTGAGTCTTGAACCAAAAGAAGTAGCAGATATTTAAATGTGTGAATTGGGAATTTGCTGTTTAGTTGGCTTTGTGTTTTTACACTGAAATAGAGAATTGAAATCTGAAGTTGAGTTCATACATATGATTTCTAATGTTGAAGAACATGGCTTGTGTTGCGTGTAAAGTTTAATGAATGATTTTTTGACAATGTATTTGTAACAGTGGAAAAGGTGTATGAAATGAAATGCCAGCCTGTGGTTTACACTTGTATTGATATAATTAACTCAGGAGGATATGTATGTACCTCTTGTCTGGTTATATATTTCAAAAGTTTAAGGACATTGACTATGTTTTTTGTATTGTTTGACGTGGTTTTAAATCAGACTATTTATCCCATCACACTTGTGAGTCGGTGTTGGTGAGAAAAACGATTTCTACCCTTCTAACATACGAATTACGGGGCAAAATTTACTTTGAAAACTAGCAAAGAATAAACAAGAATGATACATAAAGAGTCGCGCAACTCTTTGCGAGTTTTACTAAGGTAACATTCATCTTTTTACGAGCGACGAATTCGCACATAGTACTGCTAAAAGGTTATTATTCTTTTTATTTTTTTCATTTTTTTTAAAACTTTTTATGACACCAAAAATAAAGGGTCCTCCAATCTACAATGAGGCATGTAGATTTCATGGTCCTCAAGAAAAAGGTCACCCAAAAAAGGTGCTATTGCTTTATCTTACATGAGGCTATGTAGATGGCTTAAATTTTTCAACCTTTTTCTTTTTCCTATCTGTGTTGAACAATGGTGCATTCAAACAATGATGGCTAACTGCATCTTCCAATCTACTTTGCAATTCTCATTGAAGCATATACTCCGGAGAAGATTGTTGCTAATGCTATGTTGGCATGTTTGCTACTAAGGATTGTATTAAATATTGTTCAGTCATATTCAATGTTGTGTAGATCTAACATGCAAGGCAAATAGAAGAATTTGTTCGAAGAGGGGTTTACGTTAGTTGTGTGACAGAATAGATCATGATCGATTGTCCAAAAGTATGATTAGTATGACGAGTCATGTGAAAATTTGGTGTCTCTAATGACTTTATACCAGCTAGCTTTTATATACTTTGTATACGGATAGAAGTTGAGAATTTATGTAAAACTTTGGAAATTTTGCCCTTTGAGGAAAAACGATATGATTGATTGTGAGTTTCAAACATCATTTTGGCATGGAGCATGAATCATGTGAAAAAGGTAGTCTTTTCACATGTAATGGGGGAATGTAAAAATATGGTCCAAAATGGGGGGTAATTTGCCGAGCTACCTAATTATTTCGGAGAGAGTGTGGAAAGAGCGAGGCGACATGCAGTGTGGATCTTATGTGGCTTCTTGTTTTGTATTTGTATAGCTGGCTACCGTATGATTTGTCTTCTAGGACAAGGCGTAACAATTTATAAAAAAAAATATGAATGTAATAAATTAAAGGGAAATTTGCATTTTTTCCATCATAATCTTTGCAAATTGTTGTTAATCTACTGTCAACCTTTTCAGCATCAAACATCCTCAACCTTTTGAAAATATAGCAAAACTTGTCCTACCGTCCATTTTTGCCGTTAAAGTCATGTAAAATGATAAATCTGCACCTTTTCAAATAAGAACACAAAAAAGAGAAATCAACTAATAAAAAATAAAGGGAAAATTACATCATGAGTCTTAAATCTTTTCGAAAAGTATAAATAGATCACAACTAAATACAATTGGCAAAAAAAAAAGGTCTTCTTTGTATTGTATGATCTTTGCATATTTTGTGTAATTAAAGAGAATTAAGTTCACATATAAGTATATGACTGATTGATTGATATCGAGAAAGACTATTGATTACAATTGAAACATCGATTTTCACACTAGATAGGAATTGATTATAAACATGTAATTAAGAATAAAAAGTATGTTAGCAGTGGTGAATTAAGCATCCTACTGCCTATTGTGATTTAATTAATTCCAAGACTTTGTTTGCTTGTTTTTAATTGCTTATTTAGTACTTAATGAAATATAGTTTAAAATCAAATTCAAACATTTATTGTACGTTTTTCTTGATTAGAGCAAATTTTAATTAAAGTAAAAAATCGTAAATAATCACTCATCGCGATTTCGACACTCTACTATTCATTATATTACTCGTAAAAACCCTGTTCACCTTGCAAAATAAAATCAACAGTAAACTGAATTTTATTTTTCTAATGGAGGATTAGGCGTAGTTTCATTTACATTTCATTGCAATCAGCCTTTACTTTTGGCAGAGATGGTTTGTGCATAGTTTTCCAACAATTTTGTAATGAGGCGACTTTGTTTTCAAAATATGAACAATTCTTGATGATTCAAGAATCCTTAGCTTGGATGCAATGTGGGATTTGATGATCAAGTCACTATCCATTAGATACATCTTTGATCACTTGATGATGATTTTAAAAGGATCAAATTAAAATATAATGATCAACACGAAATGGCATATTTGATATTGCAGCTGCTCAATTCATACAATCCTCTTGCAAGATTTCAAGTTTTGCTCACGGAACATAATTAGGCGTCGAATTTGCCTACACTATACACGATGTTATTACCCTCGGGAGATTTTCTATATGATAAACAACCGGAGAGAATCTCTATCTGCACTATCATTTAATGAAAAGTGAGAAGTCCTTTAAGAATGGCATAACAAGAGTAATGACATTTCATTTGTAACGACTTGAGCCTCGTATCTAAGCTGTTATATCATACATACTTTCCGCTTTGGAAGCACATTTACCTTCTTACCTCCTCACAGCTTTCTATCATGCCCCCGATAATTTGAATCCAAGACCTCTACTTAATGAGATACGTAAGTTGACTTCTGATACCAATTGGACAAGTTGAATCCTGGCATCTACCCGCATATGTATCATGCTGCCCAATTGGTTAAAAAAGGGATATTTTTTTTCTTTTATTTATTTTTTAATTTTTTGATTTAAGTTTTTTTATTTGTTTAATGTGTTAAATAGAAAGTTACTATTTTACCCTTATAACATTGATTAAAATATGCTCAAACTTAATTTTGATTATCAATTAACGGTATTTTGTAGGGCTACACAAAAAAATCGTGAAACCGCAAATCGAACCGAAGTCATTGGTTTGAAACCGTTGGTTTGAGTCCACGTGGACCCGCGGTTCTTGTTCTCTCAAACCGAACCAAACTGTTTCAAAATGGTTTGGTTTAAGTTTCAAATTTAAAACCGTAAAAAATAAAACCGAACATCACTTTTTTTTAATTAAAAAAATATTTTCATTAAATTGTAAATTCTCATACATAAATTTTATTAAAGTATAGTTTTTAGAATTTAAAGTATACTTTCTTGGAGGGTACACATTTAATTAACATAACTCATGTATAACAAACAATTTTATTGGCATTAGTATTTAGTTGGGCATTCATTTTAAAAAAAAAAATTTAGGTCCATAATTACAAAATGAATTGAACGTGAAATTGTGAATGTTGTCTAGCCATATATGCAATTACGTCTTTGCAAAAATACAAGCAAACCAAAGTTACCAAGCCCTAGCTCCCTCCCTCTATCCTGCAGCGCCAACGAATGCCACACAGTGCCAACTTGATGCTTGTGACATGTTGCCATCGACGTCGTTTCTCCACCACTGCTTACCACCACTGATTGTGACTCTGAATATGAGCATATCTTCCTTTTCCTTGTGTATCAAAATATTTTTTCATAATTTGTTTATACAAGAGAAATTAAAATTCGAGATCAAAACTCTTAATTTTCTCTCTTTAGAAACGTAAAAGAAGACTTAGAACTGATTCAAGCAGAGAATTTTGAATGAATTTCTCTTCTATTTTCTCATTTTCCCTTAATTTTGAATGAATAGTGGTATTATTTAATATTTTAATTGGGATAAAGATAATGAATAAAATGTAGAATTGATCATTTAGTTTTGTGTGTGAGTGCACTCTAGTTTAGTAGATGTATAATGATGTCATTTTTATCACTGTAATTTAATGCTGAATAACCATATTTTTCTGTTGTTTATCTGGTATTTTTCTCATGTTGTTTGCACTTGAGTGCACAATACTCACCTGGTTAGGCTTTGGTTAATCTAAACATTCCACATCAATAGGTCGACTATAGTGTTTTGCATTGCACATTTTCATGTTTTAAGAACTTCTTCGTGTATACTCTAACAAATGAATATACATCAGTAAAAAATGCAATACATGATATAAATTGGACGACTCTGAGAAATCTATGGAAGGTGACATTTATTTTCTATTATCAATTTTGATATTTTATGCATATTGTTTTTTAGTTGCTTCTTAATATCATTAATAAGGACTAATAAAATTTCTGATATTTGCATATCATATAGAGGCTGAATCATGTGTTATAAAAGGGGGATATTGATCCAATTTTTATCAAATGAGAGGTTAGCACTTTTGTACTTATTTTGATATTATTGCTTGTAAAATTTGGAGTGCTTGTTGCTAGATGTTAACTTGATACTATTTTTTTTGTCTTTTTGTTTATATATCGAATTTTAGACAAATATGAATATAATTTAACATTTAACATTATTAGTTCTTGTTTAAATATATATGTTAACTTGTTTTATACATATAATTATAATATCGATAGGTAAACTGTGTATTAAAATCGAATCAAACCACAAATAATGGTTTGATTTGGAAAAATTCCAAACCGCATGAAATTGTTTGAGTTGAAAATATAACACAAACCGTCCAAATCGA